GCCCCAGGATTACAAGAGCAGAAAGATGCCTGAGACCCACTTTCCCCCATTCTTTAGCTGCTCCAAGGATCTGATCCCACATGGTCATACTGGGACAAAAATGGTCAAGCGATGGGAAAAATCAGGCCGAAAAGCTTAATATGAACTGAAACTTGTCAGCCTGGAATGTTGGAGGTACTCGAAAGCGTGTAATCTGTTATATTACATCACTATTATTCTTCACAGTGGATCATTTTTCTTAGTCCTTTAATGTTTTGGCTCAAAGTGAATGAGACATTATATATTGGAAATCATCTTCTGGACTCCATATGGTTACAGGTATGTGTGCGCACGCACACAAGCATACGATATTCTGTTGTTTTAATTGGTTTGCTGCTGGTCACTTCCCAGTTCTCAACTAAAATGAATTTCTCAGATATTTTTTTTCTTTTCAATGGTTCTGCCCGATTTCTCTTTTAGCTTCTTTTAAGTTATTATTATGAAAATACAAGCGAGCAAACTAAATGCATCTCATCCTTCCTCACCGGCATCGCATCCTCCAAATTTAAACCCATCACTCTTTGTTTCCAGTTGGAAAGAAAAGAGCTTGAATTGTATTTCATAAATTAGAGAAAAGCCAGCTGGTGGTAATACAGTTTTAAGTTTGATTTTTGAAAATGGGATAAAAATAGTTTGGAAGTTTGTGGCTGTTCCTTGCCCTCTGGAGGGGTGTGTATGTGTAAGCACTGGTATTTCATAAACTGTCTTTGTTTCCTCTCCCTCTTGCCCCCCTTTCTTAAATAGCAAAAAGCACAAAGCCCTGCCCATTAAACCACTGCAGAATGGAAACTCTGATTGGCTGCTATGATGACAGTCACCAAACTAGTGCCATTCTTTCATGAGTGGCAGAACAGCCTGCAGTTACTTCTCCAAAGTTCCAAATTCAGCAGATGTAGCCCTGGCATTGTGAAGCACTCACTTCCATCAGATTTGAATTCAGCCCATATTGTTTATGGAGCCCTCGTGTGCAGTTTCCAGCATGCCCATCTCCTTCTAGTCTGGTATTCATTTTTTCTATATTTCCTCTTATTTTTCATATATTCATCCTGAATGGGTTTCGCTTCCCATCTGCTCTGGGTGCAATACAAGGTACTGCTGCTAGATGATAAAGTCCTATGTAGGCCTCAGGTTACCTCTCTCCCTGTGAACCATCAGCTGAGTTTGTTGGCATCTCTAGAGGCACATGTATTAGTAGGTACTGGAAGGAGTGTGTACAGGCCAGGGGCCAGGAAATACATGCCAGCAGTCTCTATCAGCTGTCTTGTGTCACACTTCTATTATAGTGCCCACTTGGAGAGTAGAGGAGGTCCACTGCTTTAGGAGAGTGTTCTCAGCTTTGGAGCATGTTCCCTCTCCTGGCCTGGAGGGTCTTTGACTGATAATTGTAGACAAGCCCTGCAACCTGTTCCAAGAGGAGGGAGGGGAGTGGTGAGTTCAGATGGGGCCAAATCTCTGCAAAGAAAATCTCTGCAAAGAAAACCTGGTGTCATGGAGATTTCCTCCCATGGTGGCTGAATGCACCCAAGTGAAAATGTAATATAACAGAGAAATCATTGTTTTATATGCTATTAAATTAATGTGATAGTTTCTTAGATCCCCAGATTACAGGGTTCCAGGGCTCTCTGCAGTGCTCAATTTTTAATGTGGTAATTTCCCTAGGTAGAGGGAGTTTATTTGACAAACAGATGATGACTCAGAAATGAAATACTGACCTGTTTTAAGTATCAGAGGGGTAGCCGTGTTAGTCAGGATCTGTAAAAGCGGCAAAGAATCCTATGGCACCTTATAGACTAACAGACATATTGGAGCATGAGCTTTCATGGGTGAATACTCACTTCATCGGATGCACGTAGTTTTGGTCAGTTATTGAAACTGCTTTTCTCCTTTGCATTGTATCATGTTTATTTCAAAGAGAAGGCACATTTTATATCTTATCTCCTGTGAAGTGAGGAGTGGATTGAATTCTGCTCCTGTAACCTAAACATTTGGAAGATGTTTCTATTGCACAATGATGTTGCAGAAATAGAGCAAGATTTAAGAAGTCACTGGGGTAAGATTTTTAAAATTTGTCATGGAAGTTATTAAAGAGAGATGATCTACTACTTTTTACTGTGATTGATAGTTAGAATCCCAAGTATCCAAACTGCTTGGATATTGAGACTCAATGAACAATTCCTTAGAATGAGAGGTGAGATAAATGGAGTTCTATTCCAACAGGTGGAATCCTGGCCCAACGGGAATCAATGAATTTTTTTCTTCAGCGAGGCCAGGGTTTCTTATTGTGCGTAAAAAAAATATGTGCAAGAAAGATCACATTCTGCTGAGTGCATGCATGCTCCTTTGCATGCCTTCTGTTGAGCACAGAACCTGAAAGTTTGCATAAGACTGAGGATTTGCCCCATAGATAATCCAGCAGCTCTGCATCCCTGAGGCAAGAACTATAACTTGTGAAAAACTTCTAAATAAAATCTTAGCGGAAAAGAGGAAATGTCATTTGATTAGCTTTGTGATATGATTCTGGACATAGGTTGTGTCAATACTTCTTTTGGATTCCAGTGACTGGCCAAATGGCAAATAGGGCTGGTGTCATGAAATTTGTTTTCCAGTATGTTGATTGTTTTCTATTTCCCGGAGTGACTCATAATTATTTTTTTTTTCGTTGTATTACAGTAGCACCTATTCATTCAAAGATCAGGGCCACGTTGTGTAGGTGTCTTACAGACAAATAACAAAGACAATCCCTTGTAGTTTTTCCCTTTGAAAACAACGTTTCCCATTTTTATGCTAATAGAAATGATACAAGGTTTACTGTCTATCCATCTGGATACCTGTTCAACCAGCCCGCCACACCCACCCACCCAGCCATCTGTCCACATCAGTATAAATAGATAGAGTTGAGATATAGAAAGTACAATAATTACAAGTTATAGGAGAATTTAAATCAGGCTATTTACCTGATTTTTTGGGGTCTGTTCTGTACATACCCACTGGACTGAAAATGTGATTTCTTCACCTCTGTTATCTGTGAGGATCACAGACAGAATTCCAGTAATTAGCCTGAGCCAATCATTTGAACCTGGAATGTGTATGTTTACAGAGATACAAACTATGAAGTTAGTATTTATCTTATTGTGGCAAGATAAACTCATCATAATAGTGCATTGCAGGAATGGAAGAATTTCACACAGTACCACAAGAGGTAAAAAGTATGAGAAAACAAATGCTAGGTTGCTTTGTTTTGTTTCTCATTGGTATTTTTCAGCAAAGCTTCATCGATGGGACTTTTTGAGAATGTCACTGGAAATCTTGGGATCTTTGGAAAGAAGAAGGGTTACTTAGTGGGAATTCATATCCTTCCTCCTGTTCACAGTCGTGGAATGGAGCTTTCCATCTGAGTTTGAGCCATACAGTTGGCAGTCACGCTTTTTCTCTGCCTTTTCTTGCCTTCTTCTTATCCTTGTTTCTTGCTTCTTCCTTCCTTTTTATCTTTTGTTGTTTTGGTTTTTTTTTTGAGGGGGTGTATGGAAAGCCCTCAGAGCTAGAGGCCTATGTTTCCTGCTCCATGCTTAGTGGAAGGAAGGAAGCAAAATGACTGAGCTGATGCCTTCATATCAGCTGCCTGTAACAGAGCTGTCCTTCCTGATATAACACTGTGCATTAGGTTGTTTCCATCCCAGAACATGGAAAGAGATGATGTATGGCAATTGTCAGTTACTGGAAGGCCTTGTCTACACAAAAAGTTATGCGGCTTTAACAGTACTGATATAGTTAAATGAGTACAACTCCTACTAGTATGGACACAGTTATTCTTATATAATAATTTAAAACTTATATTCCCCTTGCACAGGAAGGGAAATAAGCTATACTGGCATGAGGCCCCTTTATACTGGTATAACTGTGTCCACACTAGGGATTGTACTGGTATAACTACATCAGTAAAAAATCCTACCCCTACCCGACATAGTTTTTGTAGTGGTATAACTATGTGTAGACTAGGCCAGTGGTTCTCAACAGGGGTCGGTCCGTGAGCCCTTTCAGGGAGGTCGCGGAGCCTCGCGACTGAAACCCAGTGCCCCGAGCCCCACTGCTGAAGCCAGAAGTGGTGCGGGGCTGAAGCCGACACACCCCCAATCCAGGAGCAATGTGGGGCTGAAGCTGGTAAACCCCCCCCCCCCCCCCCAAGCCAGGAGCAGTTGGGGGCTGAAGCCGGCAGCCCCAGCTCCCCCCTCCCGAAGCTGGGAGCTACACGGGGAGCTCCCCCATCCATACACAGCTCCTAGTTACCCCCTGCCTGCACCCTGAGCTACTCTACCCACTTCACACAGCCCCTAGCTACTCCCTGCCTGCACCCTGAGCGTTTTCAAACTTTTTGAACTGAGTCCTCCCTTTGAGTTATATTTTTTGGTTGCATCCCACCACTGCCCAGACAGGCTGGGTGGCCTCCTGAGTGAGTCAGGGGGTGGAGGTCGCGCTCCCTCCCTGGACTCTGCTGTGCGGAGCTAGCTCAAGCCCCACCTGCCCTTACCCCCCCCTCATCCCCCACAAAATAGAAGTAAAATTATGCCTATGCCCAAGGGTCCCACGCTCCCCTGCCGGGCCCTGGTGTTTTTATAGCATGTTGAGGGGGGCCTCAGCAAGAAAAAGGGTGAGAAGCCCTGGGCTAGGCCAAGGTGCTTTGTCCCCGCAATTACATTCCTATGGAGATGCTGACTGCAGTACTTGCCTGGCTGTTCATCTATTTCTGTTCCAAGTATCTGCAACAGGAAAAATTAAAAATGCACCAACTTTTGATGTATTCTTCTGGGAATGAGCACAGAGCACTAGTAAAAAAAAAAATTCATTCTGAAATCTCAAGTATACACAAGACAGTAACATTGTATAGTGACATACATTTAGAAATGACTTATAAAATCTATCAAGAATTTATTTACCTTTTATGAGAGTATTATACACGAGTACCGCGTGTTGTAAGAGTTATAAGCACATCATTACAAGGTATTCGGAACACAAAAGGTAACAACTCCAGCACACTCAGGTAGGGTTTAACTTTCTCCTAGTACTTTCAACCCAACCAATCACAACAAAACATTATATCAAGACAACAACTTATCCTAAAGATAAAGATACTGCACTACCTATTGGTGGAGCTGTTGTCTGCACTGATCATTACAGTATTATAGATGGTTATAAGCCAAGCTTGCTGGACTCCATAACAATCGATAACCATTGATATACCATTTATTAAAACATCTGTTTAATACAAATAAAGAAACACGTATTTATTCGCCCTTTAGAAACTATTTAGAAATTGAACATTTATATAAAGTCTGACCTACAGTATTATACATGCTGAGTTTCTCTTTTCCTTACAACCAAGATTCACAACTTACTGAGGGTTGTGGTGGATTCTCCATCATTGTAAATGAGGCCTGCATGTCTTTCTAAAAGATATGCTACAGCTCAATCAGAAGTTCTTGTCCTGATGCAGAGATAATTGGGTGAGGTTCTTTGGATTCTGTGGCTCAGGCTAGAGGATCAAAATGGTCCCTTCTGGCCTTCAGCTCTATTAATCTTTGACTCTCAAAATATACAGTTATGTGCAAAATAGCGGTAATAGGTGAGACTGAGGGATAATTTCAAACTGTAGAGACTTATGCCCTCATCTAGCTCCCATTGAGATCAATGGTAAAAGTCTCATTATCTTCAGTGATTCAGAAGCAGATCCTCAGTGCTGCTAGCCATTCATGCTGAACTAACTCTCATAGATACCAGAGGGAATTCAGCATATGGATCAAGGACTGTATTTAGCCGTTAACCCCTTTATTCCAGGGTAGATCATTTGCATCTCCCCAGCCCCTCTCTTGCTCTGTGACCTGAAAAGCAGCCTTCAGGATACCGTTGTTCTGAAGTCAACTTGTATTTTCTTAATAACACTCTTCTCTACTTGAGACCTCATTTTCTTTTGAACTAGGGAAAGCACAGCTGTTAAGTAAAGAAAAACAATATATCACCCCACTAATATGCTTTCCTCAGCAGTCATTAAAGTCAAGTGTTAGCCTTCAGCTGGACTGTTGTAAAAAATAAAATAAATAAATAGATACCACTGGGAAGAAAATGAAACTATAATTTCAGTCACATTAAAATTACCCTCACCCCCAAATGGATTCATGCTTCAGGTCAGATTTAGCAAGGGCATTTCAGAGATTTGTGAGGGGAGGTCATTTAGATCTTTACAGTCCCCAATTAAAGGTATCTTTTTATAGGTGATAATTTCATACAGGAAAGCAATTCAAGTTTTAATAATTTAATTGATTTTCCTTTGAACCTGTTGGGGGAAAATATGGAGAGAAAATACTTTTGATGGCCAGCAGTCATGAACTGAGGGATCAAAGGGCTTTGAGATAGCTCAGGCCTGAAGAGGTTGACGCATTCATTTTTTCAGATTGTTATTCATAGCAGGAATGGATTGAGCTACTGACCCTGCCACCATTGGATTTCTGATGTTACAGCAAACATAATTTTGCTTTCTCTACAGAAAAAACTTGGGTGTGATTTTTTTCCCTCCTTCACTTTCCTTGAGCGAAGTCCAAGTTGTTATGCTGCGATATGAATTCGGACCAGGGAAACATATAGAAGGGCCAAGTGATTGGCCAGAATCAAAAATACACCTCAAAGCTGCATGATAAAAAATATCAAATAACTTAGCAACTTCTATTCCAAAGGATGCCAAAGCACTGTACAAACCTTGCTATCTAGCTATCTACATATGCAGGTCTTATTTCACCAGCTACCAAAATTCAGCCATTTCTGGGGTGAAATGAACCAGGTGTTCAGAGCTAACCGCATTATTCCACAAATAGTTTGGAATTAAAAACGAAGACAGAGCCCTTATCTAGTGAATGCTGTGGTTGGAATTGTAGGTAGGGAGATTGCACTCAAACTGAAAATGGGCCAGGTCAGTGTGATTCAGGAACTGTAGGAGTGCCTTTTTAAGAGTGGGAGGGCATAGATTTGTCTCCTCTGCCACACCCTTCTCTTCCTCTCTTGGGTGCCCTCCCCCAGCAGTAGCCTGTAGCATGATGCCCCTGGCCTTTGAGCCCCTACATCCACCCCCACGCAGAAGGCTCAGCTGTCAAGGGAAATCCCCTAGGAGCGTGCAACAGAAAAACCCCAGCAAATTACATCTCATGTCCAGCAACCAGCAAGAGAGTAGAAAAAGTGGCCAGGCTGGTCAAAAAATGGCCAGATGGCAATGCTATTTTCCATGTACCTGTTTAAAAGTAGCTCTGTGGCCTAAGGCAGGGTCAATCCCCTTAAGTGTAGAAAAAAACAACAACCCTGCCAAGGTATTTTTAAGAACTACAAGTATCCAGAATTTCAGTTTTATGTTTAACCTGAAAGACAGCCCTGCTAGCAACACAGTGATTGTTAGGGCTTCACAGAGGCTTTGCTTCAGCGGGGTGGCAGCCGACAGAGCATCTCCTTCTGATTCACCAGAATGAGCGATGGACAAGTGTGTGTGATTCACTTGTGGGCTCGCCTGTGTTTGAATGTTGCCATTTCCTCTGGGATGTTTGGAGCTTTTCCGCCGAATGGCTGTGCAGAGCTGTTTCATTCACACAGCTCTGACAGAGTCTGAGTCTACTGCGAGGAGAGAGATGATGTGCTTGGCTCAGTCACGTTAAAAACTTTCCTAGCTGTCAAAAACTGGTTAGAGCAAGTTGATACTGGAGCATACAGGTGTTGTGTTGTCAGTTAGGTGTGTGTGTGCTCTCTTTGTATACTGTCCCAGCCCTGTGCAGATAGCTGGTTCAGCAGACCTTGATGGTTACTACCCAGAAAGACCACAGACTCGGTTCAGTGACAAAAGCACTCAGCCAGGTTTATTGCCCTCAACACGAAGTCCTAGCACCCTGGTTCCATGGATACAGGAACGCTAACACATAAGTGCCCTGTGGCAAAGAATGGGAATTTTTGTGGGAATTTTTGCTGTCCCCCCCACACACAAAGGGTTAAGGCGAGGTACCCCGGCACTTATAGACTGAGACAAGCAACTTACGTACCACCTTATGCGTTTCATGACCTCCCCTTGTATCATGTTCAGGGTGTCTTGGGCAAAACACCCTCTTACCTGGTGTCTCTGAGCTCATCTTTTAAAGTGTGTTCTCACACGTATCCAGAAGCTGTTGCTTCTTGGAAGTGCCAGTGTTTTAGCAACACTAGCAATACTTTTTCCAAGGTCAGATATTGGACAGTGAATTTGTAAACATCGGCTTTAATACATGGCCGAACCAGGGCCGGATTTACACCTAATGCGCTGCTAGGCATAGCATCTTCAGTGCCCCTCCCTGCCTACAGCTGATCTTTCTGTTGCACAGTTTTAGAGAGGTACGGCACGCCTAGAACGCAGGCGCCCCTAGGCACGTGCCTACTGTGCCTAATTGGAAATCCGGCCCTGGGCCTAACTCTGGTTCAGGCCTCAGGTCTTGCACCAGGCCCAGTGTTCCAGGCTCTCTCTCTCTCCTACAATAGGCTGTTGGGTAAGCTGGTATGCCAGGTACACCTAAAAAGCCAAGTTTGCTGTTCACTAACTTCCATGTGTGGTGTAGACATCCACATTCAGTAAGCGTGGGCTACACAGGGTATGTAGGATTTAAGGCTCTCTTCGGGCCCAGTACTGGAGGGAGATGGAGATGTGAAGGTTTAGCTAATCTAAATAGAGCAAAAGGTATAACTGGGTTCACTTCCTGCTCCTGCAGTGGACTTCCTGTGTGACCATGGGTAAGTCATTTAATGTCTCTTTGATTCAGTTCTTCATCTGTAAAATTAGGATAACAACACCATCTTGTCTTATTTAGTTACAATAAAATGATAAATGATTTTCCTTTGAACCTAAATCTAAGTGAAATTTTTGAGGTGAAACTTTTGTCCAACGAAAAATGAATATTCAGCAACACTGAAAATTTTGTGAATTCATGTTGGTTTTGCCAAATTGTTGATGTTAAAAGAAAAAAAATAATGTTTTATGTCAATCCTTTTTGATTCAAAACAACTCTGTTTTTGAAATGTTCTTCAAATTTTATTTATTTTTTTAACTTTAAAAAAAACTTCTGGAAATCTAAACAAAACATTTAATTTTTGGTCAAACTTAAATGGTTCGTTCAACCCCAAATGACTATTTAGTATTTTTGATTAGCCAAAAAAGTTAATTTTCGGGTCACCCCAAAACGTGTTTTTTCCAGAATTGCCAGTGACCTGAAAAATCTGTTATTCGCACATCTCTAAATGTAAGTGCTTCAGGAATGGGTCATTCTAGGGCCTTGATCTTGGTATTATAATAAAAATAATATCAGGTATCATATACAATATAATGCCATAATTTGTGTCAACATAGCACATACGCTAGCCAGATCCATAGCATAGAATGCATTTAGCTGTGGGTTACCATTTAAAGCATAACACATTAATACCCAGAATGTGACAGGAGGCCTTTATAGAAGCTGTTTAGTTTTTAAATATGAAGACATTGCATAAAACCTTCTCTTCCTCCCAGTGTGGAACATAGCAATAAATAATCTGGTGAAGGCAGAAGAAAGCTTCAGAGCAGGGTGTACAATCCAGTCAGTTCTCTGCTGTACAGCACTGGTGGAGTAGGATGGGTGTTTTCTTGGTCAACGAGGGCAGCAAGCTTTTCATACAGATGTTAGTATAAAAGTGACTGTTTATTGCCCATGGCATAAAAAAGCGGCTGTGGGAATGATACATGGTGGTCAGGAGCACAGCAAGGTCAGCTCGTATTTCAGCGCTTCACACAGGAACTGTTGTCTGGATCAGCCATTCTCCAGCTTTTCACTCCGCAGTCTACTTTGTCACTGAAAGAACCTCTGTAGCATCCTTTTTTCTTTCCAGACTCCCATAGCGTTTGGTGTGCAAAATTCTTTCATTTTGTGGACTGCTAGGAAGAGTGCTGAGGACTGCAGGGCTCCAGAGGACACAGTTAAAGAACCAAAGGAGTGAACAGAGCTCAACACAGAACATGTTACTCACATGTCATTTTGGAATCATAGATGTCCATCTCTCCTTTTGGCAATGCCTGTATCTGTCCTCTGAACCCCAGCATGTGGTTGTCCTAGTAGTCATATTATTATTAGTGGAACGATGACTTTCCTCTTCTGCAAGGAGTCCGTTAAACTTGGCATTAATTACATCACCAGTAATTTCCTCAACCTACATCCTGCCACCAAACCACCTATACAAACATCTCCCTCTACACCAGGAACTGTCTTTGCCCCTCGACCAGGCTTTCCAGAAGAGAAGCCAACAGATTTTCCTTCCAACGTCAAAGGTATAAAATGCCTGCGATGCTACAGATAAGATTAGAGTATTGGCAAAGCCACCCGAGAGCAGTTTGCATGCCTAGCCTATACCTGAATCCACACTTCGCTGGTGCCAGCTGATTCACACCTTCACGATCCATAAATTTCACTTAACACCTCTAATTTATATTTATTTGGGTATTCCTCTTGCTAGATCTGAAAATAAAAATAAAAGTCAGCTGTGTTTCGCAAGACTGCAAGAAAGGCCACCTAGCTATTTTGGCAGACTTCCTCATGCTCTTGGCTGAACTTTGAGGTCACTGTTAATAGGATAGCACTGTTTATTATCTCATAAAGATCATTATAAATAGATGTTGTTAAAGATAACGACACACTGTAAATAAAGGCGCCATATGAAATCACAATATTTAACTAGCTGCTGTTGAAACATTTTTTCACTAGAAAGGATTCTAACAGCAAATACTTTACTGAATCCAAGCCATGCATGGGTCTCTGGAACAGACTTCTTATAATAATACTTTGATTTATATTTTAAATAGTCCTTTACACACACACACACACACATATATATATAAATGAGTGATCTCAAAGTGCTTTACAAACATTAATTTTAAAGCCCCACAGCAACCTTGTAACCCAGGCAATCTGTTTTTCAGATTGGGGGAAACTGAGGCAGAGAGACACTGGGTGACTCCTTTTGAGTTCCATTGCATGTCAGTGGAGCAGCCCAGAATACAGCCCAAGGGACATCTGCTATAAATAGTCTTCGCTAACGGAGCTATGACAATTTGCATTTGCCGCCAAGAAAAGTTCAGTATCTGATTTGAACCACAAGGTAATGCTCCTCTTGAAGTGACTGTGTGCCTTGTGTTGTGAGAATGACAGTACACTAAGAAGGAGCATGTTTCCCAGACATACGTGGTAATGATGGGGATCATAAAAGAGTCTTGAATAAACAGCACCTCTCGTCAGTTCCAGTGTGGAGTCAGATTCAGAATGGTCAGTCTGGAGATTAACGTTCCTTAAGGAGGAAAGGAAACCAAATTTCACTGGTGTTTTGGTCATTGTGTTTTCTCAGGAAAATAAGAATTTACCAACAAAGTGGAAAATGTACAAAAACTGACTAGTCCATTTACCTCTAAAACGTCAGACTTCATCACATTCCTCACACACCAAGCTCCCTGTTCCTAGCGGAAACGCTAAATTACTTGCAAATTGCCCCTTCCCAGATTCTGACTGTACCCCATGGGTACAGTTGTTGGTCCACTATATTAGAGCTATTAAAACGGCACAGTGGTTTTTAGTCACAAGCAGCCCTTTGCTTGGCAAACTACATGAACTAAGCTATTTAACAACTGCAGGGAGGCCCAGGGACTGAAACTCAGAGGATTCATGCTGCTTAAATAGTCTGATTCACAAAGAGCGGACAATCACTTCTGGGAAGCTGGTAGCTGAGAAAAGGTTCAGAACGTCAAGGGGTGAGGGAGGGGAAGCTCTACGTGTTAACTCTTTCAGGGATGATCTTTAGAGAATATTTTAGAAATGCCTCTCTTTTTAGATTCAAGATGTCACGGTAAAGCTTCCATTGTCTTATATGGAAACAGGATTTCACCTACTTACTTCAGTAAAGCCAGGATTTCACTCCATATATATAATATGACATGTGGCACAATACTGCTCATAATAAAATACATTGGGTTACACTCAAAGCCCAAACTGCAAGAATCACTATAGTAGAAGTGTGGGGCAATAGCATTGTAAGAACTTATTTTTGTATATGATGAAAACCTCTCTCATTCAAGAATAGACAGCATCAAGCTCCCATTGCCTAAGTAACACACCAATACCCCCTGAAAATTGTTGTGTGACAATATGAAACCCAATTTCTGTTTTGTATTTTTGTAACTATGGCCTAATATCAGTCCTGCCCTGTCGGTTGTTTTATCGCCGGTATTTACACTAGTCATTCCATGTGTTACAGTGTTGTTAGGATTGGAGTTAGGACTTTTGAGTTTTAATTCTGACTTACCGGGTGACCTTAGATAAATTGTTTAGCCTCGCTGCGTCTTTGTTTACTCATCAGTAAAATGGGCTAATAAATATTAGCCCCTTTGCAGTGCTTGTGGGGGGGAAAAACTAATCAATAGGCCAAATTCATCAAGGGTACAAGTCAATGTAATTCCATTATTCTGATAAATCACAAATTTATGTCTCTGCTCCTGCTCCCTGTGGAATCTCACGCCTCAGTGTGGCTGTTTGACATCTTTATGGAGCTCTTGCTATGGGCTCAGATGTAATGCGGCAAATAATTGAGCTTTTTATCTTTCCTTCCAAATATTTCCCTGTCTCCCCTTCCGCTGTCATTGTTGGCAGTATCTCCTTATTGGTCGGTAAAGTGCCCTGCACATACATGCTGCTATAATAATAAAAAATAAATAAATGCAAGAGGTGTCAGCAAGATAATTCCAGTCTATTCCAACCTGTTAGTACCCCTCTGCCTCCCCCAACTAATCAGGACTAGGCTGCCATAGCCTTATCACAGTGACTAATACCTCATCAAGGAGTAATCCCACTGACATCAATGGGTTAGAACTCAGTGTAAGTAAAGGTTCCTGTGTGGACAACAAAGCTATCCCAACATTCCTAAGAACTGACCATTTGCAATGTGTACGGGCATCTTCTCCTGGGTCAAACTCACCTGTCTCTGCTTATTGGAATGCCACCATAAACATCATTCCCATACATCTCCAAAGCCGTTCATCAAGATCCTTTGGAAGAATAACGTGCTCCAAAATAATTTAGATATCAGCTCGAAGAAGTTCCCATACCAGTTTCTGCATAGATCAAAAACACAGGCATCCACCGCTCGTATTCTTTGAACTGCTCTCCCCTGTCAAGTCAGTATTGAGAATCAGGATGGGGAAATAATTATACAGGATGAAGGATCTTACTTAACAGACCCTAGAGGAAGCCCAAGTCGGGCAGAAGCAGCAGTATGATAAGTCAGCCAGGGCAAAAGGTCTGATTGCTATTTCCCCTCCTGAGACTGTGAACAGTTGTCTCAGAAGCAAGAACCATTTCATGTCCTGAGATAGCCCGTGGCCTTTAACTATGAAATACCCGCCCTGCCAAGAAGAGGCAGATGTTTCATGTAAATCTGTCATAGGACATAAATGTCCAGAAGGTCAGCTGACTGGCTGGATCAGATGTGCTGATAGGGATGGGGAGATGGAGGAAACTGCCTTTCCCCTAGAGAAGTATCAGGAAGGATTTTTCATTAGTGCTTCAGATCCAGGAAATGCAGAACCTTAGAGCTATTAATACAAATGGCCTCTCAAAGGCTTCATGGAAGCTCAAGAAGACCTGGCCTCAAGGAATGAGAGACTGACAAGTGGCTTTAAAGCCTTAGAGGCTGTTTCATCCATGAATGAATTCGTAACAAAGTTCTACATGTTCCCTCCTACAAGAAATGATATACCGATCTGCTGTTGTTACACTGATTTATGGCCAGCATCTAGATTCACCCACCGGAGAGCTAGGTGAAAGACGGAAAAGACGGAATTTGGTCTGGGTAAAGTCTAGAACGATGCTTACAATGTATATCAAGAGGCAGGCTACCATGATACTGTTGTGTATATAAGGTGAACATCGATGGTGTTAGGGTCTCCAAAGGAAGTTGAGAAACCCGGGAGGGTGATTGTGATGCAGCTCCTTGAGGTAGGTACAGAAACAATGAGGTGAGAAACAATGGAGGGGTCCCCAGGATTTTTGCAATGGCACCTAAGTCCTGCTTGTAGCATGGGGCTGAAGGAAGGTTGGTTCGGTGCTTAGGGCCCACTTGGTCACAAACAGCGACTCAGCCTAGGACTCAGAAACCTGAGTCCAATTCCCTGCTCTGTCACAGACTTGGGTGATCTTGGGCTGGTCATTTAGCCTCTCCATGCCTCAGTTCCCCAACTATACAAGGGGAATAATAGCACTGCCCTACCTCACAGGGCTTTTCTGAGGATAAATACATTAAATGGTGTGAGCTGGTCAGATACTAGGGTAAGACGGTACAATATATAAGTACAATACATAGATATAAGTCTTTTGTCATCCTTATAAGACTTTTGAAACAGATTCCTTTTGAGAGTGTGATGGGAATTTTTGAACATAGGCAAAAGAATGGAGGAGACAGTCATTTTTGTTACAGATTTTTGCTTGAATTTTGGCTGCAAGTTGCACTAATGGATCTAATGTAAAAGACACAGCCAGAGAGAGTGCAGGGAAAAAGTTCCCCACGCCCAACAAGGGTTCCCCTAAAAGCAATAGAGAAGCTGCTCCACAGGTCCTCTGGAAAGGAGACAAATTCCAGAATGCAGACATTTAGCAGTCAGTGTGTGTGTGCCCTGATACAGACTTGTGTACCTTCATTCAGCACACATTACTCCTCTTCCTGAGAGGAATAAACGGTACAGAGTACAAGCGGAGTGCAAACACTTAATGCTGGTTTTTTGCAGCATTTATGCATACCTATTTTCTAGCCAAAACTAAAAGGTTCCAGAATATTGAGTCTTTTATCTTTAGCAATTGCATTCACTCACAGGGAACTTCAGCATACTGGAATTTTTTTCAAGTTCAGTTCTTTATTGTACAACCTCTACTTCACTCTTATTTCTTCTCCTTATCTTAGCTTTTACTGTTAAATATATTATGTACCGAAACAACAAATAATAAGCCCTGTCTCTGCCACAGTTTCCCAATCTGTAAAATGGGGAATAATATTCACCCACAACACACATTAATTTCACACCACTGTGAAAATGTAAAACACTCGGTAAATGTTACATGTTATTATGGGAACATAATACTGTAATAACAGAGGGCAAACAATAAAGACAAGTGCAAAGTACTACACTCAGGAAGAAAAACACGAATGCATAACTACAAAGGAGGGAATAACTGGCCAGGTGGTATTGCTACTGAAAAGGATCTGGGGGTTATAGTGGTTCACAAATTGAACATGAGCCAACAATGTGATGTAATTGCAGAAAAAGCCTAATATTCTGGGGTGTATTAACAGGGGTGTCGGATGGAAGAGGGGGACAGTAATTGTTCCGCTCCATTTTGCACTGGTGAGGCCTCAGCTGGAGTACTGTTCAGTTTTGGGCACCACACTTTAAGAAAGATGTGGACAAATTGGAGAGAGTCCACAGGAGAGCAACAAGTGTGACATGAGGTTTAGAAAACCTGACCTATGAGAAAAGGTTAAAAAATGGGCATGTTTAGTCTGGAGAAAAGAAGATTGAGGGGGGGGAACTGATAATAGTCTTCAAATATGTTAAAGACACTGTTATATAAAGTAATATTTTTTTTCTCCATGTCTTCTGAAGGTAGGACGAGAAGTAATGGGCTTAATCTGCAACAAGAGAAGTTTAGATTAGATATTAGGAAAAACTACCTAACTATAAGAATAGTTAAGTACTTAAATAGTTTAGCAAGGGAAGCTATGGAATCCCTGTCACTGGAGATTGTAAAGAATGAGGTAGACAAACACCTGTCAAGGATGATCTAGGTATACATGGCTGTACCTCAGTTCAGGGGGTTGAACTAGATGACCTCTTGAGGTCCCTTCCAGCCCTACATTTCTGTGATTCTGTAAACCTACGTAATTTATGTGCTGACACAAGTAACATCCTAATATATCCTCAAGTTCTTTTAGTTACGTTCTGGTCTGCTAAAAAAAAGGCAACGTCATTTTAGCCATTCCCCGGGCTCTGGTATTCACATTATTTAAAAATAGCAGAAGAAAATTTGCTTAAAATAATGAAAACAGAGCATAGTATTTTCAGGCTACATGCCTCTGAAAAGCAAGCACTTACGCCAGATATTACCAAAAGGAAGATAGAAAGAAAAACTGAATGCTACCCTATTGCTTTTAACAATGCCAGTGGAACATAGATGTTTACTGGCTTTGTTGGGCAAAGTTCCATTTTTCCATTACATGCAGGCAGTTATTCTAGCTTCTGCTATCAGCAATTAACAATTCTGCTCCAGTCACCAATATCTCAAAGTTAGGAACTATTGTGAAACTTCACAATATAAGCCCAATTTTATCATTCATCATGCACATATTCCCTGAGGAAATAGGGAAATGTGATCTAAAATAGTGCATATACATATGTGCAGGTCTGTGTGCTGATATAAGGTGCCTGGTACTTACCTAGACCTTATAATACCTGGATGTCTCTCAGGATCCAGTCACCCCAAGGGGAAAACAGTGGGTCTGAACCCCAAAGATTTGTACACAATCAGTTGGCCACTGAGCCAACTAATTGTGTACAAAGATACTGTGTATTAAAATATGTTGTGTAAGCTCTTTTCTGAAAGCTTGTAATCATAAGCTTAATAATCATTATGAGATATGTATATAGGTTACGGTTATGAAGTTAAGTATTTGTGTATATAGAAAATTGTGTGGATAATCTTTGATGCAGCTTCACCTCCACCTCCTAGCAGGGAGATGAGCAGTCAGGCACGGAGGGGCTGCCTCCTCAAGAAGACGAGACTAGCTTCAAGCACCTGGCCTTATACAACCCAGGAACAGAAAAAAGATAGGTCATTAAGGTTAATGGAAAGACACTGAAACATCCCTTAGAATTTCTCTACCCTGACGAACCATGAGTCACCATGGCAGAAGCAAAAAAACAAAAAAGGAAAAAGCTCTTTTAAAAAGGAGGCTTGAAACTAAGGTCTTGATCCAGAAACTGAGGCCAGGTGAACCCTACACACTTACTTTGGTATAACCACATTGCTCATACAGCGACGTAGTTATATCAACCTTAAGCCCCCCCCACCCCATGTAGACAGCGCTATGTCAGTGAGAGAGCTTCTCCTGTCACCATAGCTATCGCCTCTCAGGGTGGAGGAGGAAGTAAGCTGACAGGAGAACTCTCTCCTGTTGGCTTAGAGGAGCTTCATGGAACTGCTTCAGGAGTGCAGCTGCTCCGATGCAGGATTTGTAGTGTAGACCTGCCCTGAGAGATAGTAGCTTGGTGGGTGCTGTCGGCAAAATGTTGCTATGGCAGAGGGCAAGCAGGGAAACTCTTCAAAGGCAACAGGTGACTTGTATTAGAACAGGGATTTTATCGAATATAGAAGTGTAAAGCCTGAGGTTGCACCTATATATTTATTTACTGTGTGACCGGTACAGATTTGCTCTCCCTTGCTATTTTATCTTTGAATCTGTGGTTTTTCTATTAAATAAATTTGTTTGTTTTTACACGGAGCAGGTCTCCGCTGTGCCAAAATCAGCTAGTGTCTGGGGGCTGGTTTCACACCTTGGGGGGTGATGAACCAGAGGGGAAAGTCTGAGTGTCCGGTAGTTAAGAACTTGGGGCGTATGGAGCTGAGACACCGTGCAAAGAGTAACTAGGCTGGTGGAAGCCAGGCGGAAACCTTATGCTTGTTGGCCGGCTACCGGTGTCAGGGCTCTGAACCAAAGCTGCACAGCATAAGAGCACCCAAGTGGTGACAGAACCCCCTTACTAGTCTGAATGATCTCCAAAACATCACAGCAGGTCACAAATCAGTGTCAGAGGGTCATGACCAGCCTTCCTTTGCCTTATTACCAAATGAGGGGGGTTGGGGAATTAAAGGTAGATCCCAGCTAGATGGGAATAGGCTGTCCCAGTATGGAAAAGTTCAACAATCTTTTTGATACTTAAGAAGTATGTGCTATATTGCTTATCTCATACATGATAACATTCTGGGAAATATTGTCTCTTAAGTATGGTTCTTCTGCTACATGGGCAGTTCTGACACAATGGAATTAGTCTATATACTGTTTGCTCATCCCCACATTAAGGGCTAGACCTCCAGTAGACATAAATCAGCACAGCTTGATTGGGTCTCAATGGCGCTAGGCTGATTTATACTGGCTGGTGAGTTGAGGAGGAATAATTTCTGCTGAACTTGGCTAAACTCAGGTGTTTGATTCGAAACTCATGCTGTCACCTCTCTGTAGGAAGCATGTGCTCGGATGTATTCCTGGGATAACCCTCAATAAAACCCCATAGAGTTACCAGTATTATGTGGTGTTATCAGCCACTCATTGTCACCTCTGCACAAAAACAGCTGAAAAAATATTTATCGAGCAATAACATGCAGTGTCTTGGGGAGATGTTGAACATCATTATAATCAGTACTTCAATTACGTTCCACCCAGTACTGCCCTTTTATGTTTCTTTGTATGCTCTGGAGATGAGCGTGAGCTACCCAATATGACATAATTAGCCTATTATTGGATGCTTTTAAAATTTAACTTTAAAAGCTGATTTTTTGGATCTCTTTGGACATTAACACATACAGTTTGAGCTATCTAATCTATTTGCTCAATCACTGGGGTATCAGGATCCAGTATTAAGGATCACCATTTTGTATCAGCAAGGCCTCATCTTTCTATAGGTGCAGGGTACACATTAATCAATAAGATATGCAAACCCATTCTTTAACAAAAATCATGCCATCTCCCAAAGAAATCTGAAAGAGACATCTTTTGCACCCAGGCAGGCCTCATTCCTTCCATTTAAAATATTTCCTCCTGTATGCATTTTCCCCTGAAAAATCCCCACTTCTTGAGAAATTGCTCAGTACCTGAGCAGCAGAGGTCAGAATTAAAGCTAGGAAGACCTGGGTTCAAGTCCCTGATGTGCTATGACCTGCCTGTGTAACCTTGGGCAAGTCACTTCATCTTTTTGGGATGGATTGACAAAAGTGCTTAGGTGCCTAAATCCTTCTCTCACTCCACAGTGGAACAGGTCCAAGACTCATTTGGGCCAAAGATAAAGCATGACTCTACAGGCTGGTAGTTAGAGAATTCACTCAGGATCCAACCCCGCCATCCCCCCCCCCACACACACACTTCCATGACTTTTTATTTATTTAGCCGCAGTAGACCATCCTCAACAGAAGAGTCTGAGGAAGCCCCTCATCTGAATATCCCATAGCCAAGTGGTTAGAGCACACGCCTTAGAGCGAACTCAGGCTTTGTGTTTAACAACATCTCCCTGTGATTTTCTAGGCACTGTGGCAAATTACCAGTACTATTATGATGGGTCCCATGCTTCCTCTTCTTGGGGGGGGGAGGGTTCAGGGCACAGATTTCTGCCCCTGAACTACAGTATTCCACTAGTAACCCACTGTCCCACTAGTAACCCAGAGAAGGGTAGTGGAGCAGGAGGGACCTGGGCCCACCCTCTACTCCGGGTCCCAGCCCAGGGGCCCTAGAGATAGTGGTAAACCACTTGAACTAGTGCTTCCTTCCCCTGGGCTACTTCCCTCTCCTACTCTTCAGCTTGTGGGGTTTCCTGCCCTCTCCCTCTGCACAAGCCTGGCGTTTCTTTACCTAGGGTCTTGCTCTTCTAGCCAGCCACAGCACTTCTCCAAACTCTCTTCTACTTCAACTCCTCCAAACTGCTCTCTGCTCCAACTCCTTCCCCTGGCTGATTGAAACAGGGGGGTTTTATCAGGTGACTAGCTTCAGGTGCTCTAATTGGCTTCAGGTGCTTTTAATTAATCTATAGAAACCTTTCTTCCCTCTACAGGGAATAAGGCTTCTCCTCATCCTGGGATTTACATATCTCTCCTATATCACTCTCCTGCTGCCTTCTGGCCATGCTGTATCACAGCACCTATAAGTTAGGCTCTGTGACAGCCCCTAAGTTTGTGCACCCATCTGTAAAATGGGAGTAAACAGCACTTCCCTACCTCATGGGGGTGTTGTGAAGATAAATACAATAATCCTTGTGAGGAGCTCAGATACTGTGGTAATGGCTTTCGCTAGGGTTGAAATTAATTTCCATCCAGAACGCTAGGCTAGCAAGTTGGCACAAAAGAATTTTTCCCTAAAATCATCAGTGTGGCTTGATTTTTTTTTAATGCTTTTATCTGCACGCTGGAGCCTGATCTCAAGAAGTCCTCCTGAGAATCAACCATGTCTTCACTCCTCAGAAGGATTTGGTTTAGCCAGGGAAAGCATCAATTATATTGTTTCTATACAGCATAGTTATGACTCTCAGTTTGACACTCTTCCTCAAGTTTGACAAAGAAGTTTTGCTTCTTTTTAGCCTCATTTATATAATGAAAAGGAAGGGAAAGGTCTTTGAAAGACGTGTTTGCAGTTTAACTCTAAGGCCAAACCCCTGACCACATGCTGAGCTTATCCACATAGGCTGGGTGCTTTAGTAGGGCTCTGATTCTGCAAATACAAAAGTAAATAACTTAATGCACATGGGGTGAAATCCTGGCCCTCCTGATGTCAATAGGAGCTTCAATGAGGCCAGAATTTCACCCCTGGGTCCTGATCCAAAGCTCACTGAAATCAACTAAATGCTTTTCATTGACTTCAATGGTCTGTAGGTCAGTCCCATGAGTAGTTCCATGTAAAGGTGTTTGCAAGATCAGAGCCTAGATATGCAGGGAGATAAAAGGAACAAATCTTCTTCCACAGGCCATGGAGGGCGGGGGGTGCATTCTTTCTGTGGAGGCTCCTAAGCGTTATCCTAAGAGCTGAAGTTGCTTATGTACTGTTCTTTCTTATGTCAGAAATATGAATGTATTGTGGTTTACAATACAGAAAGATGGCACTTTAGAGTTTCTTTGGCTAGATGGCATTCTTGTGGCATGCTGCTGAAATTTATCCAAAAAAATCTGAGCATCTCACATTTGTTTTCACACTGCAAAAAATATGGAAAACTTCAGGAAAAATACACTTAATATTTTTCCATTTTGGCCTGGCCTTATGCAAAATGTGTGATTGTACAGGCTTGTGCCAAAGGCTTGTTTTTGTTTTTATAAAGGAATATATTTCACTGTAGATATTATAGCAAAAAGAAAATATTTTTGGAAAAGAGGCATGCATTTGATTGCTGGGCATTTAGTCTCTTCTTTTCTTCAGTAACACATCTGCTCTCTCATGTCGATAAGTCACAATGGCTACCAAGTTTCTTTCTTTCTTTGAAGCTTTATGTTTTTCTTACCATTTTAGACTTTAAATGTCATCTTAAAATAAAAGGCTTCTAATGGCTTCTTATGCCATGGCACTATGATTGAAAGATGCTGCCTCTTAAGTACCAAAAGATATATCCAATCCATGTCTCTTGGGGGCTTGATTGACAAGGGCATTGTCAGCTTCCAATTGGCTCCAAACTGATGAGCACCTGAATTCACCTGCAATCAAGAAGCATGTATCACTGACTGACAGCTCCAGCCCCATTAGCAGAGGGTCATTAAAGAAGCAAACTGCTGGCTTGTGCTTGCCATGAACATGTTTCTCATGGTCCAACTAAAACAAATGTCCAAATTGACATTCCAAGCATAATAAAGAGGCTTCCATATCCGCTGCACTTACATTGCACAACACCCCTCAATAGGAGTGTTCAGCTAATGGAAAATTGAAATTGGTCAGGAAACAAAAGGGGGATAAAAGAAAAGATATTATCCGTTTTTTCAACAACCTCTTTGCTTTCAGATGTGAAGGGGAAAAGGGACATTGAAAGTTACAAGTAATTCTTAGAGGAATGCAAAGAGCAAACATTTTAAACTGACAACCTTTTGCAAGCTGATTAGAACCATTTGTGTGTGGTCACCAAAAAATTAGAGCTGCAGAAAATGGAACGGAGACAAACTCTGCTCTGTTCCGAGTCACGTAACAGATGCCAGTGCTCCTTCTGATTTTAGTACTTTTTTCTTGGCCAATCTGGGTGAAAGACTGATTAAAAATGGGGTTGGGAATATGCTGTTGAAAAGCCTCCCAGACTGTAATCCTAGTGCAAGGGGAAACTGAGACGAGCAGTAAATCATTCTTGGCTGCCTGGATCACTTATCGAATACAGCCAGTAAGGACACCCAGAGTCGCAGGACTATGAAATTGCATATCCAATCGCTTGTTCTTTGAAAGGGGCCTGTGCCTTATTTTCTGTGGGAAGAATAGGGCAGGAAACAAAGGAGCAGAGTCATATCAGGAGGCACAAAAAGGATTGTCAATAAACTGTTAAAACTCATAAACATGGATGGAAAGAGATTTATCTCCTCCAAAACCATTTTTGCTTCAGCGGTATCTTAGGTAAAACAAAATAAACCAAAGGCATTGAATTTCACTGGGAGAATGACTGTGTGGTCTGCTGTACAAGCCAGATTTTCCAACTATACATTTAAAAAGTGGTTTCTCAAGTGTGGGTAAAAAAAACACTTACCCAATTTCCGAGCAGTCTGTGAATCGTGAGGTCTGTAACAGACACAGCAAAACAGAAGGCTTAGTTACAACTAAAATTGAGATCTTCCTGGATGAGGGTTATAATCGCTGTGCAGCTGATATTATAAGTCTTTTACACTGACCTCTTGTCCTTTCAGGGGTGTATTTGATTGCACTGTATTTTCTCTTTTCATCGCCAAGGGCTTTGCAGAACATAAAATTCCATGCCCACGAATGCTGGTGAAACACTGAGAGGGAAGGCAGCCATGAACATTTTAAATTACTGTTGTGCCAGTTAATCAAAGGTGGTTCAAACTGGAAATATCTTGCTCATGGTAAATTTAGCATCTATTACATTGCACTAGTAAACCAAGCAGCTGCTGCGAGCACTAACTGCAGAGGGAGTCTTATACTTAAGAAAGTAATGAAGCTCTTTCAAATAAAAAGTAATCTAAGAATAGAAAATCTCTGCCAAGTATGGTAACACCTAGAAGATGTCTCTCTTATGCTCAGCAGCAAGGAATATTCCTTTATATGCTAAGTAAGTAATAAAAATATAGACACATTAGACACTGCTGATGGCAAAGATTTTCTTTGGGATACAAGTAGGGTTATCAAGCTGTGACCATTCCAAAGACAGGCGTGGATGAGGAGTTCTGTATCTAGATGACACATGAAACTGGAGATTAAAGGAATGGCCAAGATCCACACCACAGGTTATCCCAACCCAATATGATTAGTTTCTCACTACCCTTTGAACTCTTTCACTACCCTTCGTTATTTATTTAATGTTACACATTAACCTAAAAATTATGCTCAGTCCCTGTATACTGACTTTAAAGATCTTCCTGACCAGAGTACCTCACTTACCAATATTTTCATAAACTGGCTTCTGCTTCCACCCAGAAGAGGCATTGTCACCTCAGACCTTCCATTTGCACATTTATACAGACAGTTTGTATTCTTCGAATTTGTCTTTGGTGGAATTCTTTCCCCAAAGAGATCCAATTCCCATACTTAACCTGCATTTCTAAAACAGCACCATAGATTTTGTGTTTTGCTGAATGTTTACAACTGTTTGGCATGTTGTAATCTTGTGATGCATGGTGCTGCTTCGGAGTGGAGTTGTATAAATCACATTTTTAGCCCCTTTTATCCATCATGCTTTACAATCTGAACTAATGGTTTGTGTAAACTATACAGCGTTATTGCAAAGCTCAGAAATGAAAAAGTTGTGATTTCCTCCTCTTCCCCCGATTATTTTTCTTTGCATGACTTTGCCCACCACAGAAGTGCAGCTGTAACATGCTTGTAAAGTGCATGTTATGTATCCTTCTAGTGGCTGATCTACATAGAAGAAAACAGCTGGATACCTCTGCCAGCTAATGGAGATACATCATTGGCCCAAATGGGAAAGGTCTGTTCTTTTAGTGCTGAAGGGACTGGGTTCCCACACTGATGAAGATGTGTAGTGGGGTTTGTTACAGAGCTACCTCTAAATTGACATACAGCAGCAGAGTACCAGGGAATGTCAACCCTTCACAGAGGACCTGAAGACCAGAATAACCTTACGTAACTACCAGGCAAGTTAGGTAAGCAGCTCTACTGGAGTATGGGCAGGACAAAGCTAACACGCCAACACTTGTGCAAAGTGCCATTTGGTTCCAACAGATTGTCAGGACAAGATGTTTTAGAGCTCATCCCTCTTGGCAGCTCCACAGCACCTGCTGGCAAAACAGCACCACGCTGAGGGATAGGTTCAGTATTAATTTAAAGGGAATGGTGCCATTTACTGGATCGCCAGTGCCTTTTCCTACAGCAACTGGGGTCTTCTCCAAAAGTATCTCATCCTGTGAGATCACAGCCCAAGGTTGTACGGTAGTATTCAACTAGGAGTTTGCACTTGATCCCTGAATTATCTTGGAAATATTCCAAGGAATTCCTTTCCCTTCTCCCCATTGTGCTCCAATTTTAAGGTTATCCCTGCTGATGAAGTGAGCTGTAGCTCCTGAAAGCTTATGCTCAAATACATTTGTTAGTCTCTAAGGTGCCACAAGTCCTCCTTTTCTTTTTACTAACAGGAATATGCTCGGGAAGAGTTCCTCATAAAAATCCACAAGACCACGACATTGCCCTGTTTCAAATCCTCCTTGAACCTTACCCCTGCAGTGATGCCTAAAAATCATTAACCAACAGCGAGGCAATGGGTGGTCCGGTTGAGCTATTTAATAAGCTAATCAGGATGATTTCACTGTTTACCTGTCTTCCCTCATCATTTGTCTTATCCACTTGTTATTGCCTCATCATATGAATGGACTGTAAAGTACAGGGACTTCGTTTTGATTAGGTGCGTGTACAATGCTTAGCCTACGGAGGCCCTGCTGAGGAGGTGAGATCCAGGGTTGGCCTTACCACGAGGCGAACTGAGGCAGCCACCTCAGGTGCCAGACTGTGGGGGGCACCACAAGGACCCAGAGTTTCAAAGTTTTGGCCCAAGCAAAGGGGCATGGGGGCATCATTTGAGCTCCCCGCCTCAGGTGCCAAAATGTTGTGGGCCGGCCCTGGTGAGATCATTGCCTATCACTCTCACCAATACTGTCCCCTTGTTTCCTTATTCTCCCCAATCTGTCTGTTGTCTTTTGTCTTAAACTTGTAGTGTAAGCTCTTTGGGGCAGGGACCATCTTTAGGTTCTGTGCTTGACCCAGTGCCTAGCACAATGGGGTCTTGATCCATGCCTGGGGCCCCAAGCACTACAATAATATAAATAAATAATAATAAATGGGCCTTCCACCACTACCATGCCACAGACAAATAAATAGTAATAACAGTAATAAAGCAGCTCCCATAGGATCACCACATTTAGCTACCCACCAACATGAGCCACCTGTAAAGACAAAGACCCAAACTAATCACAACAGTTGAAGAGCTCTGTACCAACACACATCACTGGTTGAGTGGCTAGGACAGGCTTGTAAAATTATTGCTCAGAGCAAGTGGAGGTAAAATGCATATGGCACATTTTGTTAGTGGGGATGAAGGGGAATCTGAAGGAAACTAAGACTGTATTTTTCCAACTTCCTGAGCTCTCTAACTTCCATCTGCTAAGGCTTTAATTAGAGCATTATATTCGCCATCCTCTCTTTCTACAGCTCTTGCCCGATATAAATCCCACCCTTCTGTGATAGAGTTTTTCTACAGCAGAATTACCCAGGCTGCCTCAGTGTTGACTCATTAGTGCTCTACCTGGGACTCCTTCAATTAACCACAGTTGGCCTGGTTGGGCCCTAATAGCAGTGAATTGTCAGGCAGTAGCTGACAGAGCCAGGCCTTCTTGCTGTGGTTCACACTGGAGAAGGGAAGAACTTTTATCCTTCCTTTCCCACTCCAGGGTAAACAGCTTCCATCTTTATGAGGCACGAGGGAAATGTGAAACAACTGAAATTTTATATTCAGGTTTTCCTTTTATGGAGAGACTCTTGTCTCTCTTCTCTACTTTAGCCAAGCTATAGTAACACTGCACCACTTAGATAATCCCTTAAACAGGGACATTTTGTAAAAAAACAGCTTCCTTCCTGCAGTCAGGCCTGGTTGGAAAGACATCAAGCTTGCACCTATTTAGAAAAACCAAAAGGAAAGAGAGGGACAGCTAAATATGTTTGACATACCATCCTTATCACATTCATATGCACACACACCCCTGAGAGGAAATTCTCGGTGCGGGAATGTACTAAAAGCCAAAGGATGACAGCTGCAGGGTTTAGGAAAGGAATGGAGCTGGAAGACTTTTGCCTAGATATAATCATCTCAAAGCTGCAGCATGGATCTCTTCAAACCAGGGCACTGTGTATGCAAATAGCAAAGAAAGGGCTGGTATTGCCAATCTGTTTCTCTCTCCCAGTTGAGGTGAAAGTTTGATTGCCCTAGTTTCAACCAATAAACTGTAGGAGTGGCAGAGGGCTACTAAAGAAGCAAGCATGTTCTTCCCCAGCTCATCAAGAGCATGAAATATTGCCTTTGAGAGCGCATAATCCTGCCATAATCCCATCTCAGATGTCTACTTCCATGGAAATGTAGTTGTTAGGCTCACACCTTTAGTAGTGAAGCCTAATAACATCATGCTGTCTGGTTATTATCCTTGGCTACATACCCCCCATCTTAAAATTAAATTGATCTGAAAGGATTTTACATTGATACAAAAGACTTTTGTTTTGTTTGCTGTTCTTATTATGCAAAATATCACCACCACCCCCTATAAACACAGACACACAAAGAAGAATTTCAAACCCAGTGCAATTTTGGAGGGCTTCAGAACCTTTCCTGTGCTGCTTGCATGTGCAGTCATCATCAGTAGAGATCTCAGTCCCTACAACAGAGCTGCTTACACCAACCATTTCCATCCTTTTCATCTGTTATTTGAGTTGTCTCCTTGGACTCCTGGGGACACCTTTATCTCCATTTGCTTCCAAAAGAATATACATATAAATCTTTTGCCAAAATAAATAAAAGAAATCAAACTTACTGGTAATTTTTTCATTAGCTCACTGAAAACTCTGGCAGCTCTTTAATCTCAGAAGGGGAAAGTCACAGATATTAGCCACTGAATAACCAATGAGTTTGAATTGTTTTATCTAGCATTTTCAAAATATAGTACCTTTGCATATTCATTAGAAAAAGTGAGACAATTCAAGTGATCATTTATAAACCATGGGTTATTCCTCCTTGGCTAAGGGCCCCATCCTGCTAATCTGTTGTTGATTTTAATGGTGCAGGATTTTAATGATGCAGCACTGTTCTTCATATGAGTATTTCCTAGAAGTGATTTTGGAGAAGGGTGGCAGTAAGGGGGTGAGGAGATGCAGAGATGGGGGATATTTTACTCAAGAAAACATCCTGAAACTCTGACACTTGAATCTAAAAGGGAAATGTATCTCATCTGGATGGGATTGGGTCATCTTCTTGTAGTGGCTCTCAAACTTCAGTTTACCACGACCCCTTTCTAACAAGAAAAATTAGTACACGATCCCAGGAGTGGACCAAAGCCTGAGCCCACCCAAGCCCTGCCACCATCGGGCTTCAGTGTCAGCCCCGGGCAGTGCGGGTTTGGGCCTCAGCGTCCCGACCCACAGTTTGAGAACCGCTGAGTACCTGGCTGAGAATTCTGCAGCATGACTTACCATATAAGGCAGAGTGGTCTTTTCAAATGCTGCTGCATGGATAGGCTGCCTTGGTAGATGAACTGAACTCAGATGTCCCAGTAATTCTAGGACTCCAGATCTAAATATTCCCAGATTATTGGGGTGGGGGTGGGGTTTCAGTTTCCAAGTGTTATATCTGGATCCACCACCTGGAATTTTGGTCCCAATCAGATCCTGTTCCGGGTTTCAGAAGCAGAATTTAGTGTGTATCTCCCCAACATCTTGTGGACCACAGGCTTCCACACCCCTTCCAGGTCTTCACGATTCACCAGTTGGCTACTTCCCCAACTCCCACTGCCTCTTTAGGGGGTTGTCAGGTCAGTCCATTATCCCCCATAATCCAA